TCAATGGCTGTGCGAAGTTGTTGGATATTAGTGGGAACTGGTACACGCTGTCGTATACGTCGGTCAAGCACATCCTAAACATGCTCAACGGGTGACAAGTCCGGTGAGTATGCTGGCCATGCAAGAACTGGGACATTTTCAGCTTCCAAGAATTGTGTACAGATCCTTACAACATGGGGCCGTGCATTATCTTGCTGAAACATGAGGTGATGTTCATGGATGTACGGCACAACAATGGGCCTCACGATGTCATCACTGTATCACTGGGCATTCAAAATGCCATCAATAAAATGCACCTGTGTCCTTCGTCCATAACAGATGCCTGCCCATACCATAACCGCAGCACCACCATGGACCACTCGATCCACAACACTGACATCAGCAAAGCGCTCACCCACACGATGCCACACACGCTGTCGGCCATCAGCCCTGAACAATGTAAACTGAGATTCATCCGTGAAGAGAACACCTCTCAAACGTGCCAGACGCCATCGAATGTGAGCATTTGCCCACTCAAGTCTGTTACGGTGACGAGCTGGAGTCAGGTCAAGACCCCGATGAGGACGACGAGCATGCAGTTGAGCTTCCCTGAGACGGTTTCTGACAGTCTGTGCAGAAATTATTTGGTTATGCAAGCCAATTGTTTCAGCAGCTGCCTGAGTGGCTGGTCTCAGACGATCTTGGAGGTGAACCTGCTGGATGTGGAGGTCCTGAGCTGGTGTGGTTACACGTCGTCTGCGGTTGTGAGGCCAGTTGGATGCACTGCCATATTCTCTGAAACGCCTTTGGAGACGGCTTGTGGTGGAGAAATGAACATTCAATGCACGAGCAACAGATCTGGTTGACATTCCTGCTGTCAGCATGCCAATTGCAGGCTCCCTCAATGCTTGTGGTATCTGTGGCATTTTGGTGTGAGACAAAACAGCACATTCCAGGGTGGCCTTTTATTGTGGGCAGTATAAGGTACACCTGTGCACTACTCATGATGTCGGATCAGCATCTTGATGTGGCACACCTGTGAGGTGGGATGGATTATCTCAGCAAAGCAGAAGTGCTCACTATCACACATTTAGACTGATTTGTGAACAATGTTTGAGAGAAATGGTAATATTGTGTATCTGGAATGAATTTTAGATCTTTAAGTCCATCTCATGAAAAATCGGAGCAGAAACAAAGGTGTTGCGTTTATATTTTTGTTGAGTGTATATAGGCCATAAAGAGAAATGTGGTTTGTTTCAAAGAGGTTTTTGTCACTATGAGCACACGACAGGCACCAGAGTTTTACACTCATACGAACGCTAACACGATATCTTCATCCATAGTCACCCGCAAACTACACATGTAGGGAAATCTGTCCGACTTAAACGCCGGCTTTCAGCCACTCCCCCTGCTGCGCCCGTCTGCTCTCGTCTATTTTCCAGGCGAGGCGCTGCTCATTTCGAACACGGCCAATAACAAATCAGAAAAAAGGTGGAAATGCCGCTGGTACCCCGCGATGCTGTAGGTTTTTAGCTGTGGTCAAAAATGGCGTCTGGCGACGGCGCAGACATCTTTCTTTAGAAGAAAGGTTTTTAGCGCTTCTTGTGGTTTTAAAGACATTCAAGTCATTTAGAGCAGAGGAAAGAGCTGCAGCGAACTCCGCTTCAGACGCCATGGTAATGACAAACTCAGCATCGTGGTGTGTGACATACGCTGCTGAGCGCTGATTGGCTCGGTTAGAATTCTCAGGGGGTGAGGTTATTGGAACAGGAGAGTTCTCAGACCCAATGCTTCCCATAATGGGGCTGGCTCGTCAGGCTAGTTGAACAGCACAAAAAAAAAAACAATACATATAAATAAGAAAAAATAAAGAGGATAACCACTTCCTGGTAGCACTGGGCGCAGCCATCTTTAATTTTGGGATCTCAGGGTCCTCTGAAATAAGCTGTGGGTAGCGACAAAAAGAACGAGATCACGGATACAAGCGGCCAAAATGAGTTTTCTCCGCAGAGTGGCTGGGCTCTCCCTTAGAGATAGGGTGAGAAGCTCGGTCATCCAGGAGGGGCTCAGAGTAGACCTGCTGCTCCTCCACGTCAAGAGGAGCCAGTTGAGGTGGTTCAGGCATCTGGTCAGGATGCCTCCTGGACGTCTCCCTGGTGAATTTTTTATGGGCACGTTCAACCGGGAAACCTAAAGGAAGACCCACAGCACGTCAGAGGGACTATGTCTCTCACCTGGCCAGGGAACACCTTGGGATTCCCCGGAAGAGCAGGCCCAAGTGGCTGGGGAGAGGGAAGCCTGGGCCTCTCAAGTTAGGCTGGTGTCCCCGCGACCCGACTCCGGATAAGCTGAAGAAAATGGATGGATGGCTGGATGAATGGATAGATGGATGGATGGTTGTGGTCTTCTGAAACCTACAAACTCACAGTTCGGAATTCCGAATTCATTGCAGCAGATCTCCTCTGTTATGAATATACAGTCTGTTATATTTGAAACTGAAACTGCTCTGTTAGCAGTGACGGAATCCTTAAAAGAAGCTAGAGCGACTGCCAAATCCTCAGTGCTTCTCCTGCTCGACTTATCGGCTGCATTTGACACTGTCAACCATGGCTTCCTTTTGTCCACACTCTCTACCATAGGCATCACAGAGATAACACACGCCTGATTTGAATCGTACCTCACAGGACGATCATTCAGTGTATCTTGGCTTGGACAATCCTCTACCGTGCACCATCTTGCCACAGGAGTCCCCCAGGGCTCTGTACTAGGACCTCTTCTCTTTGCCATATCACTGGGTGAGATCATTCGATCACATGACTTCTCCTACCACTGCTATGCAGACGACACCCAGCTCTATCTGTCATTTCCACCGGACGACCACACTGTCTCTGCACGAATGTCAAACTGTCTCTCTGACATATCAAAATGGATGAAATCCCACCATCTCCAACTCAACCTCTCTAAAACTGATCTACTTGTCATCCCAGCAAAACCATCCATACAGCACATTATCTCAATCCAGAATGACTTCCTATCGCTGGCTCCTTCAAAGACAGTTCGAAATCTGGGTGTTGTGATTGATGAACACCTGGCCTTTAAAGATCATGTTGCCTCTGTTGCCCGTTCATGCCACTTTGCGCTGTATAACATACGAAAGATCAGACCATACCTAACACAACATGCCACCCAGCTCCTGGTGCAATCTACTGTCATCTCCCGCCTCGATTACTGCAATGCCCTTCTAACTGGTCTTCCAGGCTGTACTGTGAAACCTCTTCAATTGGTCCAGAACGCAGCGGCACGTCTGGTCTTCAATCAGCCAAAAAGAGCACACGTCACCCCTCTGTTCAATGAGCTCCACTGGCTACCGCTAGCAGCACGCATCAAATTCAAATTGCTAACACTAGCATACAAAGTCCGAGATGGTACGGCTCCCATCTACCTGAATCCTCTTGCAAAGGCTTACGTCTCGGCCCGGTCGCTCCGGTCATCACAGGATCGTCGGCTAGCAGTCCCTACACCACGCTCAGGACAATCCAGGCTCTTCTCATGCATCGTTCCACAAATGTGGAATGACCTTCCAAGCACTACCAGAACTGCGGCTTCCTTTTCTATTTTCAAGAAACTCCTGAAGACCCTGCTCTTCAGAGAGCATCTTCTAAACTAGCACCTTGCCTGCACCCGTCCCCCCCTCTACTGTCCACTCCTTGTTCCCTCCTCTCCATGATTGATGTCAAGTAGTTGTTGTTATTGTTGTTGTTAGCCTCAAGGGCAACATGCCGATTATCACTTGTAAGTCGCTTTGGACAAAAGTGTCTGCTAAATACATAAACATATATTTTCCTCCTGTGCCAGGTCTTTGTTTCTCCATCTCTAGTATCAGCATTTTAACGGCTCGCCATCGGTACGACACGCGTATGTCCAAAAACAAGTTTTTACATTCAGTCTTTACATGCAGTTCCACACTCCGGTTCACGTCTAGTCATCTAAGGACCCTTAGAGCTGAGACTCGGGACCTGGCCTGATAAACAGAGCCACACATCCACAACACAGGCTATCTTAAAGAACACGTTCACAAACAAAATGCTCATTTAATCATAACAATTTATATGAGTCAAAAACAAACAAACTAACAAACACTTGTGTATCCTCAGTGATTAACAGAACTTCCACTCACCGGTTCTCACTTGGGCATTAGCTCATGCCACGGAGATTCCCACAATCACACGTCCTCGGACTGTAAGCACGTGCAACGTTAACGACGGGCATCTTAACCAGTAAGGTTCATGTCACTGATTCAAACAATCTACTTGCCGCGACCAACGCTGGAAGACACGCTCGTCCGAACGCCGTTCTGCTCATGTGTATGTGTATGCTCAAACAACATGGATGCCGCCATATTTATGACACGTCAGAATCTCGTGGGAGTTAATGACATTGTGAGACTCCCGTGTTGAAATGAAAACTTTGATAAAGGCCGGAAAAGGAATTACCAAAACACTAACACAAAGAAACCATAACATAGTAAACCAGTCATTTCCTAAAACAAAATAGAACAAAATACTAAAATAAATAAATTCCAACATGAGCTTAACCACAACATGGGTTACACGTGGCTTCTTAGGAGTAGAAGAAATAACTTCTGGGTCACTCCTGTTTACTGGCTTTGCTTAGTTAAACAACTCTGAAGCTGTTGTTGAATTACTGCCAGCACTGTAGCGTTAGCTCAGGGCAGACATGGCAACCTCACAGAGAGTAAACAGTAACTACATCCCTCTTTAGTTTTTTTAAAAGGAGAAATCTGAGTCCCCCAGCCAGCTGTTTCCGGTCATCCTTCCTTCCAACATGACTGGGACACTGAGACACTTTTGGGATGGTTTCACTGCAGGATTCTTACAAATAGCTCCTTTCAGCACAGCCAGGTGAGAGAGTGGACCTTTAAGATATAAGGCGGGACTTGTGACACCCTGAGGGTCAGAGGCTCCTGATGGGGTGTAGCACCCCCATGGTTAAAGACTCACCAGAACCTCATCCAGCAGCTCGTAGATCAAAGCGAAGTTCTCCTGGATGGACTTCTCAGAGAGTCTGCCACAGTAATCCCTGACCAGCGCCATCAGCCTGAAACATGGACCGGTTCTGTTCAGTCAAGATGTTTATCAGCTGACATCTAGGTGACCAGCAGGCAGCTCCATCTGAAGGTTCTGTTTAGAACCAGAACAAACCTGTTGAGGAACTCAATGATGGTGAACGGTGAGGAGTCGGCTGTCGTCGTGGCGACCCAGTAGAGGCCTTCATGTCTGACATGTACAAAGTGCAGGTCTCTGTCGCTCTGCGGGACACAGAATCAGGTTTGTTTTACTTTTGACTCTCGAATCATCTGCATGGTTTCAGTCCAGTTCCTCACACAGTAAACAGACGCCGAAACATCGTTGCTTCATCCTGATGTGACTTCTAATCTAGTGGTTCTGGTTTGACCTACTCTTCGTGTTTGGGTCAAATCAGAACTCAAAACAACACAACAGTTTGGGTCTAAATGTGTCCCAGACTGTGGAGGCGTTACCGTGACGACCAGAGGTTGGTCTCCAGTCAGCGCTGTGACCTTCTCATAGAAGATGTTGACCACATCGTTTCCTCTTTGGCCTCGGTCTGATTGTTGGCTTGGGTTAAGCTCTAACTCCTGATAGGGTAAAGTCTCACGGGACTGGAAGCAAAAGGATACAGTCCTTGTAGATGAGATGGTCCCCCTTGGAGGACAGGATGAAGACCTGAGAGATCATCCTCCTGAAAGGAAGATCACAAGCACAAGATCAATGATAATGATAACTCATATTTATATGGAATATCACACCTTATTGATCATTTAATACAAGTGACCACTTCCATCACGTTACAACATGTTTATCAGAGTTGGAATAAAGCCAAATCCTATCTAATTTATTGTATTATAAGTGTTAACAGCACTGTTGTGTCCTGGTGAGAACCTGCAGATAAAACTACAGAAGTTCCGCTAACGGAAAGGTGGATCTGTGAGGGGTTACAGCTGCTGTACTCACCTGCGGAAGGTGTGGGGTCTACCTGGAAGAACCAGATCTTACTGCGGCTATTTTTAACAGAACTTCAAAGGAAATGAAAGCACGGCTGGTGCTGCTTTGGCTAGCAGTAAGCTATAGATAAACTTTAATAACTCACAGGGCCGCAGTTTTCAGAAACGCTGAATACAACCAGATAAGCTCATTGTCTGCAGGGTTACAAAGCTAACCTGACAGAAAGGTTTTGGGTTTATATTCAGGTTATAGCTACGGTTTACGACACGGCTCCGTTAGCATGTAGCCCCACAGCGCTCCCTTGTGGACAGGAGGTTGAATGAGGATTGCATTAATAACTTTATATTTATTAACTTCACGATGAGTGAACTCATAGCTACGTAAGAAATTGCTTCAGATACATCAACCTAGATGGTTTGGGTGTGTTATATAAACCCGAGAGAAATAATATGCACATGTTTAATGATCGCTTGTAGTTTAGATCTCCAAACTGCAGAGGGCAGCAGAGACGAACCAAACGGAAGTGGTCTACCTCAACAAATAAAACGTCTGATCTGTGCCCTAATTTCTGTAACTAACTATGAAGTAAGTACATTTATGTATTCATAAATGACACGAACCACCGACACAACACTGTTCTACTTATTGTCGTGTAGTTAAAGTAAAAAGAGCGAGTTCGTTATTCTGCGGTTTGATGACTGATCCTGGTGCAGCATGCTAGCTGTTAGCTAGCTCCTACTCGTAGCCGATCGGATTCTGCTCAAAAACCAGATAATTTAACATTTTTCCTTAAAAACCAGAGAGAATATGTAATAAAACATAAACGCCCAGTTGTGTTTGGGATGTAGCATGTATCTTTGATGCTTCAAGAAGACATTTGATCATGTGTAGGTTGGCTATTGTTTTGTTTACACCCCTGACCTTCTGCTACGTGTTTTATTCTAGACCAGTGTGTCTGATAAAGTTGACTAATAATTTATGTCAACTGCTGATGAAGACAGGACCACAAGCTTGGTCATATGTGGTGTTATCTTTTTCTCATGAATGTTTCTACATGTGCTGCAAAAAAAAAAAAAAAAAAGATCATTCGACTAATAAAACACACCACTCCGATCGTATTTACCCCGGAAGTCAAAGGGGACACATTTACATGTATATCCAGCCATTGTCTGAACCCGCATATCCTCACAGGGTCCTGGGGGGCTGGTGCCTATCTCCAGCAGTCTCTGGGCATGCAGGCGGGGTACATCCTGGATGGGTTGCCAGTCCATCGTCCATCGTAGGGCAGCCCAGAGGCACACAGGACAAACAACCATGCACAGCCACCTAAGGATGATTTAGGCAGACCAATCAACCTGACAGTCGTGTTTTTGGACTGTGGGAGGAAGCCGGAGTACCCGGAGAGAACCCACGCATGCACAGGGAGAACATGCAAGCTCTATGCAGAAAGACGGGCTGGGATGTAAACCCAGGACCTCCTTGCTGCAAGGCAACAGCCCTCAGAATTAAAATGTCAAATTCAAATCAAGCCAACAAGTGAAACGGAGCAGATGCTCCTCGACCAGGAACACCGTGGTCCTGCTGGAGGAACAGGATTATGCCTGCTGCTGAAGGGTCATTAGGGTCAGGCTCAAGGTTGGGGTTGAATAGAAAAGCTCGACTCTTTTTCTCTGTAGTCCAAACAAAAAGCAGTTTTTCTTTCTAAATTGTCCTGACAGCTTTTCACAATAAAACTCCAATTGAGTCAGAATCAGGTCCTGTCCCTAACGGGACGATTTACTGAGCAACTTGTGTGTTTTCAGTCCTCTAACGAAGGTGAAGCTGATTAACGAGCTGAATGAGCGCGAGGCTGACCTCGGCATCAGCGAGACCGTCTCCTGGCACACAGAGTACCGGGACAGTGCCTGGATCTTCATCGGTGAGAACTCCTCAAACCCAGCCCTTCACACGTGGAGACGTTGGGATGAGTTTGGTGTTTTGGGCTTTTGGAGACGATTTGCTTCTGTTCATTAACAACATAAAAAGGGATCTCATGAATGAAACTGTTGAAGTGGGTTTGTTTGGTTCTGATGATGCTTAAGAGGTCTCTCGTTTCCTGCAGGAGGGTTCCCCTTCGAGCTGACTGAAGGAGACCTGATCTGTGTCTTCTCCCAGTACGTACATGCTTACGTCTCACCTGCTTTACATTATAGCTGACATGACAGTGACGTTTGTCTCCTCTCGACAAACCTGCCAGGTACGGAGAGATCGTCAACATCAACCTGGTGAGAGACAAGAAGACGGGGAAGTCTAAAGGGTTCTGCTTCATCTGCTATGAGGACCAGAGGAGCACCATCCTGGCAGTGGACAACTTCAATGGCATAAAGGTGACTTCCTGTCCTCACCAGGTCCTGGTGTGGACCCAGCGCCGCTCCTTGCTGGCCCACAGCGGCATCAACATGGTCTCTGATGAGACAATTAGCTAAAATCTTTTTGTTGTTGTTTAAACGTTCAGATTAAAGGTCGAACTATTCGCGTGGATCACGTTAAAAATTATCGTCCTCCCAAAGACAACGAGGACATGGACGATGTGACCAAACATCTCAGAGAAGAGGGCTGTGCTCCCAAAGGTCCTACTGTTGTCCCCTCTTCCTCTGAGGAAGAAGAGCAGTGCGTCGTACCTGCGAAGAAGCCCAAAAAAGGTGAGGTCACTTCCTGTTACCTGAAAGTCACCTGATCTAGGACCAGGTGGACTTATTTCCCTTTTCTGTCTCAGATAAGAAAGAGAAGAAGAAGAAAAAAAAGAAAGAGAAGAGGAAGAAGAGCAGAGCTCCCTCTTCATCACCTTCTCCTCCTGCAGTCCTCAGACTGAAAGAGGAGAAGCAAGACGCCGCCTACGACAAGTACAACCACAAGGAGGTGCCTGCAGGGCAGAGGACGAGGGACACGGAGAGAGGAAAGGGGACAGACAGGAATGAAGACAAGTGGAGGAACTGTGAGAGAGAGGTGGACAGAGACAAGGACAGAAGAGACGACTATAGGAGACAAGAGATGGACAGAGACAAAAGACGAAGAGAGAGGGAGTGGGACGAAGACAGAAGAAAAGACGGAGACAACAGGAAACGGGAGCCATATAGAAAATAGACAGGTTGTGATTGGCCGATCCATGGGGTGTGTGTGTGTGTTTTAATGTTTCGTATTAAAATCTGACCTGAACACCTGATACACTTCATGTCTGATGTCCAACACCTGAGGACGGGTGAGACTATTACAAAGCAACACGTTGGCGAACTCGTGAAGCATTTCGGCGCATTCCCCAAACTGTCTGCTGCCACCTAGTGGACATCAGCGTAATCGCAGGCAGACCGACGTCAGGGCCCGCTCTGAAGTTTCCGCGTGCGTTCTCCGTGATGTTGACGTCCTGTTATTAATGTTTGAAGGTTCAGTTGAACAAATGCGACATGTAACCTGCGGAAAACCAAAGGAACGATGTGAGAATCGTTTAGAAACTAAATTATGATGGGTCAAGCGGAAACTGAGCGCAACGGGATGAAAAAGGAAAGGAACGGCATAAAAAGAACAAACTGATCCTCACGGACCACCTTCCGTTTCCTCTCAGGTGCCATGATGGAATAATGTTTCTACTGCTGGGCAGAAACCCTTCTGCTGACAGACGGAGACACTCCTCCATGACGGAGACACTCCTCCATGTAAAGCGGGACTGCACACCATCAGAAAACGTAACTCCACCCCTAGTCAAGTGTTGAAAAATGCCATGAAAGTGGGCGTTGTCAGGAGGCACAGAGGGGCATGGACAAGTGTGGGGAATTTCCATCCTGTGAGGGAGTGGGAGGAGACTGAACCGATGACGTGAAACTTCCAGCCCCAGCCAATCACACGTTTCAAATGCAGTAGCTGCTGTTCTGCCACAGGGGGCAGCACTGAGACATTTTTAGACCCAGAGTCTAGATTTAATCAAGTTTACACAAATATGTGAAAAATGCACAGAAACAGATTGCATTTGTAAAGACCCAATTATAGTTTATAAGCAAAAACAAGTTATTTGGGGGTTTAGTTACTCTTTAAAGACGGTTGGACACATCACTGACCACGTGACACCTCCTAAAGGACTCACGCAGGTGTTGCTGGACCCGTCCCATCACTACTAATGCCGGTGCATGCAACAACACGCGACCTTACGACACGTTTTAGTGAAATCCCACGTGTTCTGGCTGACGTCACGCACCTCTCTGATCTTGCCTTGGTAAAACAAACCTGACGGTCATTTGCTCTGATTCCGTTTTTCTGTAATCCATTAGAGATCTTCTGCAGCAGCAGCCTTTTAACAGATGTGCGCATGCACACTGGCTCATAGTGATTTCTTTACAGGTTAAGAACCGTTACATTAAACTAGTTCATCTAAAGTGATTAAGTGATGTCCTGACTGCTTCATAAACGTTTATTCTGATGCTTTCTTTCAGATCTTACATGCACCAAACGAGTACTGGCTGAATACAACCATTCATTATCGGCATATTCACATTATGAGTGTATTAACAAAGGAATGTGCTACTATATGTACTCACATTACGTGAACTAAGCTTTTCTAAGCAGCTGAGAATGTCTGAGGATCTCTGGTAATGCCCATTCACGGATGAACAAGAAACGTTTACAGAGGTAGCATTTCCTCTTGTATTCAGTTCCCGCACAAGCTTCAGGCTTACGCTAAAGTTATCGTCCCGGGCAAATCCAGTCACATTTCTATGGAGTAAGTTTAGCAGCAGAAAGAACCGTCCTTTCTACAAACAACGTATCGGCCGTGATTCGGTCTCCTGCAGCCCTCCCAGGAGACGAGCTCGGGCCAGATGGTGCAGATTAAGGCCCGTGACATCCAGAAGTAAAAGTCACCCCCTGGCGAGGAGGACTTTAGCTCAGGAGGATCTCCGAGGAGTCTTCGTACACACGAGGTTTCGTGTTTCTGCGCTGGCAGACAAACAGCCGGATTATTTAATAAACCAGACATCACACCTTTCTGAGTCACGTAGTGAAGCTCTTTAACACACCAGGTCATGTTTCATCCGAGTTCATTCATCGTCTCATTTAGTATCACGGAGTCACCATTTATAATTTTCCTGATTAACCAGAGTACCGAGTTTCACCATCAATCAGATATCAAAGGTTCAATAACATTGATGATCCATATTTTTATGGAATATCTTTATTAAAAGTAACCACCTACAAAGGTTACACTTGTAGTGTTGATTACTACATATTTGGGAATTAAAGGCTGTTGCTGTTCAGCTTATGTTTTAATTCCTAAGAAAGATCAAACAAATTAATGAATGAAATTTACATGCATATATGCATATATGGATATATGATAGATGTAGATTCATACACCAACTTGCTTGGTCTATGTTTAATCAAAATATTAATATTTTATTTTAAAGATTTAATTTAATAGCAAGTTATTTGTTAATTCAGAAGATCTAAAGATGTTTGTTCGTTCAGTGATCAATATACACCCACCCTGTTTATTTCAATGAAGAATCAAGTTTAGAAAGTTAAGAAATTTATTACTAACAATTTAAAATGTGACAATTTAAAAGACAATTTATAAAAGACTTTGGCATAAAAGCTTGGTATTAAAGCTGTCTGTGTCTTGATGAAAGTAAACATGAAGTGTGTGTGTTTGGATGTGTGAATGTAGTCTCAGAAGGTTTTTATCTTAGAGAAAACGCGTTCTGGGTGAAAGAATTTGGTTTGCAGTTAAGCTAAATTATTTCTTAATAAGAGGCATTCAGACGCAATCTGTCGGAAGTGTCTACCTCAACCAGTTGGAGACCCCCTTTTGGATCCGAGATGTCAGGAGGAGATGATGACCCCCAGCACGAGGTGGGCAGAAGAACCGTAGTGCTACCAAGCCGGTCCTGAGATGTCTCCGGGTCACAACGACTGAAGGAACTGGCTGCGTCTCAAAAATCAATAACTCTGAAGGAGTTTGCGTCAGCTTGTGCTGCAGATGGCGTTTCTGTTGAAGCAATTCTATCGGCGTGACAGAAAAGCTTTAGTAGAGGTTTCGAACGGCCGACTCGATCCTCTGGACTCTCGTTGCCACGGAGAGAATTTGGTGAGCTCAAGAACTGAACTTGAACCGAGGAGTTAGGTTTTAAGAGACGGCCGGTAATCTTATTCTATCGAATTAGATTTTGACATGTTAGAGGGTGGGACGTAACATACCTCGGATCACGTCCTCTCAGACAGAAAGTTCTGGGTTGTCATGTGACAAAAGGTTATGTGAGTGCAAGGTTACCATTTAACATGAAGCCTGTGTGAGGATGCAAATAATACACTTGTCATGATTAAACATGATTATCATAAATAATAATTATTATTAACCAAAGAACAATAATTCATTTCAGTAATTAAATACATTTATAATGAACCGTTGGTGATTTAACAGTAAAAAGAGTTTATTATAAATGATTCTTCTGGAACGTGATAAAATCCTCGTCTTGCTGTGGAGGCAAAGGAAATCAAGATATGGTAGTTCAGATTAAAGATGGTTTACAGCAGACTTCGCGTCTCCTGTGATGCGCTGCCCTAGATGTCGAGAGCACATTACCCCAGTGCTGGCTGCTCTGCACTGGCTGCCGGTAAAATATCGAGCTCAGTTTAAAATCTTAACTCTCGTTTATAAGGCCCTCCAGGGCAGTGCCCCCTCGTACATTACTGCGCTTTTGAACAGGTATGCTCCATCTCGGTCTCTTCGCTCAGCCGAGCAGGAACTTCTGGTGGTCCCCCGGTCGAAATTTCGATCGAGGGGTTGTCGTGCTTTTTCTATTTTGGCTCCAACTCTGTGGAACGAATTGCCACTGAGCATTAGGCAGGCACCATCCCTTCAAGTCTTTAAGTCTCGTTTAAAGACTCATTTTTATCTGATTGCGTTTTAGCGCTAGGGTCACTTGAATTGCCCTAACATTATGGTTTTAACTATTCTTCTTTTTAACCCAGATGCTTGATTTTATTTTGTCCGACATTTGTTTTTTTATCGATTAGTCTTATTCCGATATCTCTTATCTGTAATAGTGTTTGCTTGATATTTTATGATTTTATGTTTTTATTCTGCTTTTATGCCCATGTACTGGGAATGTTTTTCTTTTAATGATGTTGTTCAGCACCTTGGGCTTCCGATAATGTTGTAGAAGGTGCTATACAAATAAAATTTGATTGATTTGATTGATTGATAATCTGTGGATAGAAGTACGGCCAGGACAGCTTGACCCAGCTGAGGAAGTGTGACCTTTGGGTCACAAATGAGGCCATTCATGTCGCTACACACTCGTTTTCTGAATTTTTCAGAAAATCACATTGATGATTATTTTTCAAACTATTTCAACAGATTATTGTCACAATAAAAATATATATAAGGGTCCGAGGTAAATGGTAAATGGCCTGTATCTGATATAGCACCTTCTAGAGTCCTGGAACCCCCCAAGGCACTTTACAACACAATCATCAGTCATTCACACACTGGTGCTGATGAGCTACGATGTAGCCACAGCTGGCCTGGGGCGCACCGACAGAGACAAGGCTGCCGAGCACAGGCGCCACCGGTCCCACCGACCATCACCAGCAGGCAAGGGGGGTTAAATGTCTTGCCCAAGGACACAATGACAGCGGCAGACTGAGCAGGGCTCGAACCTGCAACCTTCAGATTACGGGGCGAGCACTTAACTCCTGTGCCACCGTCGCCCACACTGTCACTCAAATACCCAACGTTACACAGTTACAAATCTGAAGCCCACGAGGACATTGTCCTATGTGGTTGAAAAATGTCTGCATGACACAAAGTTTTCCCAGACATGACCTTTAACCTGTCCTCGGTTAACCGGGTCAGGGTTAGAAAAACATCCCACCCCACCCTAACCCACACTTTAAAAAGTTCGTACAAAATCTGTCGCATTTCAAACATGAAAAACAAACAAAATCCTTCAAATGTTTTCTTGACTTGTTGCGAAGTCTGACATTAATCATGTTTGTAGATTTAAAATGAGGTAAATTTTGTGGAAGTTTTGATTAGTTTGGACTTCAGAAACAGACCTATCAGGATAAAGAGTTTGGCAGGAGGCGGGATTAAGGCTGATTTATACTTCTCTGTCTGCATGGGTACAGAGACACGCAACGCCAGAATGTGACCGACGAGCTCCCAGAGGCTGATGGAGACACGCCCAACATTTTAACTATCCGTTGAAGGTGATGGCAACCACAAGCTTGTGATTGGTCAGGCCACCACTTCCTTTATATTCATCACATCACCGCCATTGCCCCGTCAAAATGTAAAAATGTATTTACAGGCAGACACAGATTGAAGAATGCATTACAGAAAAGGTCCAAAGATATGAACATTTATCCACCCGAGACTGAAGGAGGACAAAAATATGCAGCAGGCGTTTTATTCGTGGATGTCAATGACAAGAAACATAATTTTATTTATTTATTTATTTTATTGTATTTTTTTACCGTGGCCTGTCTGGCTGTGAAGCAAACAGAATTGATGTCTGAATGCTGGTAACAAGCCTTACAGATTTACACTCAGGTGGAGCATCAAAGCGTTTGCTTTTAATGTCACGCCTGATACTTAAAACTTTATTGTTATTGTTTTTGAATGCTTTGTAATTCCGACCAGACACGGAGACAGAGGTGAAAGAGAAAGGAAAAGGCAAAAGGTGGGGAGAGAGGGGGGAAGGGAGTGGGGGGGTTCCACAAAAATAAACAATAATGAACAAGAGTCTGCTTCTAGACCTGCAGAAAGAGAAAGAACAGAAAAAAATGGGACACAACAATACATCAGGAGCAAGCTATCACTGCGTCAACCTGATGATGAAATATAAAATCAACATTGTTTAACTGAACAATCACACGATAATAAATCATAGTGCATTTAGTGGCAACGACAGCCTTAAGACATGTGTTGAACGTGCTCAAGTCCATACTTTTGAGAGCACCATGTGAGCACCTGTGTGTGTACACGCGCTTGTTTGTGTAAGGTTTCTCTATAGAAGCGTCCAATAGAGAGTGTGACGGACCACAGATCGGCCCCCCAAAGGTGTGTAGGAGACGGGGGGAGCTCCAAGTCCCAAAGATCCAGGCGCTGCCCCAGAACACAGGAACTCCAAGGAGACTGCAACCAGAAAGGCCCCCGCCCCCCTCGAGAGGCACAGAGGATTGCCCCGGGGGGCCACAACCAGCAGCTGGCAGAGTCCCGGGAGATCTCAGCGGCAAGCCCACAGGCCTGCCCGCAGCCTCCCACCCCCTAGCCGGCCGAGCCCGGGACCCAGCGACCCGGGACCCACATGCTGCACATTGGTAACCGGTGATGGTTGTACCCAGAGTTTGACCCTTTCTGCTGGGGTGCTGATGAGCAGGCTCCCCCGCCCAACGCTGAGCACAGCAACCCACCACCCCAGACCCCAACCAGATGGCCAGATCTCCCTCCTAGCCTCCAGCCCCAGGAAGCCAAGCAACAACAGAGGTGTGCTAAGACCCCTAGTCTCCCTCCGCCTGCTCCAATATAGTGTTGTGTGTTGATGAGGTGTATTCCATGGCTGTGGTGAGTGGGCAGTGCGGTCATTGTCTGGCCTATGCCAGCTGATGCCACCGCACCACCCCACTTGCACCCACAGCCCTCGGTGTCTAAGTGCAGTTTAAAATTGGAAGTGGGCACCGGCACTCGGGAGGAGGCTGAGAAATCCCCCTGCCAAGTGCCGTTGAATGTGCTCACTCCCAAGGCCCTAAGTGTGTGTACAAAACGTAATTTTAGAGGTGCGACCTCATGAAGAGACGGAGGAGAACGAGGGACAACTTTGTCCATGTAAAAAGTCCCTGAAATACATTAAAACAACTTAAACACCCTATTGGACCGGATATATGGTCGTAATGGAGGCAGGATGCCCCAGAACAGCGCTACGCCCTCTGTTGTCCTGGCGGGGGTTTGCTTTGCAACACTCACCAGGTGACGGAGAAGTCTGAGGAGAAAACATCTCCGTCAATGCGTGTTACCGCGTCTGCGCTTGAGCACTCAACTGCATTTTTTCTCACTAACAGTTTGCTGGTTGAATGGGGGAAATTCTGTGTTTACCATAACACAGTTTGGTCTAAGATGGGTTGAAATATAACATGTTGGTGTGGATTCTGGGTATCTAACCGAGGATCTGGCTTTGCTGGAGAGTCCGCCGTTCTTGTCTCCGGTTGGGAGCATGACACAAAACCATGAGCTGAGTCCCAGAGCCACGTGCGTTGACAGCAGTGGACCAGCGAAGCCCGATATCCTCGGTCAGCTTACTTAGTTATGATTTTCTTACCAAGCAGGCCGGAGGTGCCTTCATGTTGGCGTCATTCTACAGCGTTTTTCCTGCTAAAAACGCACGGAAATCCTCCATTAGCTTTGGGTTAGCATGTAGCTAATGTTCCTCTGATCTCCTAAAGGCCTGGGCTCCCGGTTGCATCGGTCTGGCTCTGCTTGTAATGCAACAGTCCCAGTCCATAATAGATCTCCACCAGCATGACTACAGCCAATCGACATACCTCTGCCATGCGGGTGGAATACCCCACGGTCACTGGTGCCATTCTTAGCTTCTTGGGTTAGCTAATGGCGCTTACACATTAGCATTGGCACAGTCGGAGTTTGGTGAGGCTGGATGGCGAGAGTTCGGTCTTGAACGGGCGGTGTAGTGTTCACATATAAATCCGAGGGACTTCTGAGGAATGCAGGAATCCCAGAGCCTATGGGCAGAGTTTAATACGTGCGGGAAAGTCTGCTGTATCCTCCATAATAACATAAACAAAGGCGGGCATGAGCTGTGTTGTTTTTGGAGGCTCTGAACCACATTATTTTATTAGCTTGCTGTGCGTGTCCTCACAATCTTGTGACACGCACACACACACACACACACACACACACACACACACACACACACACACACACACACACACACACACACACACACACACACACACACACACACACAGCTCTCTTCCCCCGTTTCCACTGAGCAGCAGCTCCGTGCTACAGACAGAAGTTATCTCAACAGCTTCCAGCATGAAAATGAATCGCGAATGATGATGCTTCAGCAGTCCTTCAAGACTGTTTGAAAACCATTTCAGGTTTATCAAGAGAATGCCAAGAGTACAAAGCAGTAATCAGAGCAAAGGGTGGCTGTTGAAGAAAATAGAATATAAAACATATTTTCAGGTATTTCACCTTTTCTGGTTAAGAACATCACTCCTCATGTGTTTATTCATAGTTTTGATGCCTTCAGTGAGAATCTCCCAATGTTCATGTTCATGAAGATAAAGACAACACATAAGGTGTGTCCACACTTTAGCCTGTACTGTATAAAAGTCAGAGGTCAGAGTATAAATGCCAGGGTGTAAAGGTCAGAGTGTAAAAGTCAGAGTATAAATGTCCGAGTGTAAAGATCAGAGGTTAGAGTATAAATGTCCGAGTGTAAAGGTCAGAGTATAAACGCCAGGGTGTAAAGGTCAGAGGTTAGAGTATAAATGTCCGATTGTAAAGGTCAGAGGTCAGAGTATAAACGTCCGAGTGTAAAGGTCAGAGTATAAAGGTCCGAGTGTAAAGGTCAGAGTATAAAAGTCAGAGTGTAAAGGTCAGAGGTCAGAGTATAAATGCCCGAGTGTAAAGGTCAGAGTATAAACGCCAGGGTGTAAAGGTCAGAGGTTAGAGTATAAATGTCCGATTGTAAAGGTCAGAGGTCAGAGTATAAATGTCCGAGTGTAAAGGTCAGAGTATAAAGGTCCGAGTGTAAAGGTCAGAGTATAAAAGTCAGAGTGTAAAGGTCAGAGGTCTGACGGATCAAGTAGGTGTTGCCTGCCGTGATGCTCCTGGAGACGCACCAGTTCTGGGGTTGATTCAGTCCTCTAGTTTCCATCTGTGGATTGACTGGGTGATGAGGTGAGCCAGATGTGGTGCCTGGAAGTGAACCAGGAATCTCTCAGCAAATGGAGAACTTCAGCAGAACTGCTGGAAGTGAAGGTCCCCCTGAGATTCTGGTTTGATCTCCTCTGTCTTCAAATGGACATGATCAGGTCAGGTAAAACACGTCTTCCTGGAATGCCTGAGCTTTAACCTCCTAAACAGATCTGACGATCATGGGATTTGCCCCCAGCTGGCTGGTAGACTCTGAAGTACACTTCAACTAGAACCACCAGAACATTGAGAGCAGGTATTTCCTTTCCCCCAGGGAATAAATACCAGTCTGTCTGCATGTCCCCTGAGGTCAAAGGTCAAGTAGGACGAAGCTCTCAGAGTCTAATCTACCCGTGCTGAGCCGTAAGAATCCCAGAATACCTGATCCTCATCTCTGAGACAAATGACAGATAAAACAAGATCTTTGGATTGTTGTAGAAAACAAGTTCTGACCCGAGCAGACCGGGCATTTGACCGGGTTACAGATCCGAGTTTGTGGGTACTAATGAAGTTTGGAGGTGGTTTGTTAAAGAGAAATGTGTTTGAGCTCTGACTCAAATGACAACCAGTTGGGTTGACAAGAAATCAGAAATACCTGTTGAGGTCAGAACTTCCTGTTAATGAGTTGACACCTGACTTCTTCATCTCAAGGGTTCTTCCTGGAGAACCGGGCTTCTGCTGCTGTTGAGACGGTTGTGCTGGACATGTCCTTCGTCCTCAGCCAGCAGTGTGAGCCATTTATCATCTCTGTCACCACCGAGTGGGACAGAACCGAGCTCCAGAACTTATCTGGTACCGTGTCCGACTCAGCACATGGAGATAGTGACATTGATGCCAAGGTTCCCATTGTCGGCAAACAGGTGTGCAATGGAGGTGTCGAACACAAGGCAGTCGCTGTTCATGATTGCAGCTGCCACCCCGTCATTGATGGAGCGGGGTGTGGCCTCCCAGGTGAGTCGGCGCCGGTTCCCGTTCAGCTCTAGCCGGTAGGCAAAGTTCTCAGCCTGCTTTCTGGTGCCGATGAATAGAACCACAGCAAAGAACTGCTGGTGTCCTTCGTACTTCTCCTGCTTCTCCAGAACCAGCATAAAGTGGTGGCTAAAACAAGACTGCATCATGACCCAGTCCACGGCGCCGGGCAGGTTGATGTCCGTCGCCAGAAAGACAATATCCTCTCCCTGAAGACACAGACAAGAGAACATTTGAAAAATGTAATGACCAGGATGTTAGATTATCTGATGAGAGCCTGACTGCTGCTGACCCAGATTAGTTCTATTTCATCTAGTCTTAGCCCTTAAGCTAGCTGCTATTGGAAGGATGATCTCAGCATCAGCCAATCATGAAGAGCTTAAATGTACGCCCACCAATGGTGGGCACCCCTTGTGGGTATATAAGTGGAGCGACTCCACTGTTCGCCTCCGTTATCTCTTCAAGCCAAGCTTAAGAGCTTCCTTTAAAGAGCAATATTATCCAAGAACATTCGACTCACCGACCATGTCCAGCGACGCCAGGACCTGCCCGGCCTGCCAGACGGGCTCCATCTCCAGCGACGACCTGCACGCCAAGTGTGAGGTCTGTCTCAGGACTCATCACTCTGGCCTGGCCTTGACCCCCCAGGCCTCGTGCCCGTTTTGTGCCGCTCTGCCCGTGGCTGAAAAAATCCGCCGGGTCGAGTACTTCACCCCCGCCGCCGACGAGGAATTTCCAGTGGCTGACACGTACTCGCTGGACAAGGCCTTAGACTTCTTCAACGTCGGTCAGGAGCCGGCTGGCTTCAACCGACTGGACGACGTCATCAACAGTGAGGAGTACGACGAGGCTGGCTGCCATAGCCCTTCTTCCCTCCTGGACAACACGGAGGTCGATGAGCCTCGCTCAGCTGGTCCTTCTGCTCCAGTGACTTCTCGCTCCTCCCTGCCAGCAGTAAGAGACCTGCTCCAGGAGCTGCCCGCCATCATCTCCGCGGCTGCGGTCCGCAAGAGGCTAGCCATGCCAGAACCTGCTCCCCCTGAAGCGGATGATTTGGCGGGAATTTTCGGGGCAACACAGACGCGCTGTCCAGACCCCATCTGGCTGCGCTTTCCTGCTGCTATGAGCTGCTGGTCCGCCACCTTCTCCGAGCCTGCCAAGCTCAAGGCGCCAGTTTCCACATATGCGCCCATTACCAAGGTCGAGGGCTTCTCCGACCAAGGCTGGCCATCCGTTCCTCCACTGGAGCCGGACTTGGCCTCGCTGGTTGGCACCAAGAACCACTTCGCTGGCCCGCGAGCAGTTCCCGCTTCTAAGCATGACCAGCTGCTGATGCAGCTCACTGACCGCACTCCGCAGTGCACCTTCCAGACCGGCGCTGCAGGAAATAACATCACCCTTCTTGCCTTTAGCATTTCCAAAATGGTGGAAGAGCTTGACGCTCCTGACGAGTCAAAAACCATCATTACTAAGACTGCTGATGCCATTCTCAATCTGTACGCTGCTGTGCTCACCGGTTCTGCTCGCATTGCTGCCTGGCAGACCCTTATTCAGCGGGCCCTGTGGCTCAAGGCCCTGCCCTCCATTCCTGAACACCTGCACATGTTCTGTTTTGTCCCCATCTTAGGAGCGTCATCGAGAGGGCTCAGAAGACAGCTGAACTGTCAGCTACGGTGCTAGACCTGGTCCACCCTCGGTCAGCCTCGCACTCCTGTCGTTCCTCCAGAGGATGGGACGAACGGCGCGGAAACTTCAGGCGCCCAGCTGCACCGCCCGCCTCACGGAGCCGGCCTCCCGCTTCGGCTCCACCTCAGCGGGACCAGAGAGTTGGCGGCCAATGGTTCCGAAAGAGCCAGCAGACACCGTCTTGGCAGTCACAGGCGCAGGAACCTCGCCGAAAGCAACCACGAAAATGACTCGTTGTGGGGCATGTGTGCGCTTATGACTGTAATGTTAATGATGTTGGTTTTGAAATAAAACCCAAAAAACGTCACTTAGAGAGCACAATCCTACAGTCCTCTGCAGAATCCTCTGCTGAATCCTCACACATGTTCCCCACACCAAGTACTGCGGCACATCTGCATGTTCACGCAGTCAGTCATACTACACGGCCGGCTATAAGGGTGTGCTCCATTTGCGCACCGCCCTAGCCTCCGGCCAGGCCCAACACATCCCGCTCCCCCCACATCGTAGGGTGGGACGGGATGTCATGGCGCTGTCGCGACCATGCGCAGCGACACAGTGCGCAGCTCCATCCGCTGGCACTTTGTCATCCCCATGCACGGGCCCGGCTCCCACTCGTCATTCATCCTTGGAATCCACGCTCCGCGGTGCGGATCAGTCTCTTCCAGCTGTTCCACACTCGCCCTTTCGAGCACAGCCCTCCATGGGTCGCTCCCAGTTCTCTGGTGCGAGCGATGACGGTAAGGGCGCGAACCCAGTCCTTAGACGTCGTTCACGTGACCTCGAACACGCGTCCGCTGTCGGAACACGCGCACGAGTGGTGCCGCCTTTGTCTCATGAGCAAATGGATATCGGAGACCATTCATTGCGGTCATACACTCCATTTTCAGTCCGCTCCTCCTCCCCTCAACGGGATCGTGGAGACGATGTTCACGTCACAGGAACAATCTCAGGCCCTGGAGCTGGAGTTGCGGGAACTTCAGTCCAAGGACGCAATTTCCCAAGTCCCTCACGGACAAGAGCTCTCAGGCTTCTACTCCCGCTACTTCGTAGTACCGAAGAAGTCGGGAGGAATGAGACCAATTCTCGACCTTTCCCTGTTCAACTGCTCCATAGCAGTGATGCATTTCCGCATGTTAACAATGAGGCAAGTCCTGGAATACGTGCGCTCCGGGAACTGGTTCACGTCAATAGACCTGAAAGACGCATTCTTCCACATCCCAGTATTTCCCAAGCACCGGAAGTTCCTGCGCTTTTCATTCAAGGGAGTTCAATACCAGTTCAATTGTCTCCCTTTCGGCTACTCGCTAGCCCCGCGCACCTTCTACAAATGTCTGGAGACCGCGCTGCAGCCACTGCGCACGGCAGGAATGAGGGTTTTATTTTACCTGGACGATCTGCTCCTATGCGCCCGGTCCAAGCACGAGGCGTCAGAGCAAACCAGGAAGTTAATAGAGCTTCTGTCAACCCTGGGGTTTTTCATCAACTGGGAGAAGAGCTCCATCCTTCCATCCCAGCCGATTGTGTTTCTCGGGGTGGAGCTGAACGCCTCCCTAATGAGAGCACGTTTGTCTCGGGTGAGAGCGGCAGATCTCACCACGGTGATCTCCCGCGTGCAACCCCGCAAGATCGTGAGAGCCCTGTTAGTCATGAAACTTCTGGGCATGATGGCTGCAGCCCACGCTGTGGTGCCGCTAGGTTTACTGCACACGAGGCACCTGCAGCGTTGGTTCATCCACCTCCGGGTACACCCGATACGTCAGAAAAGACGTATGTTGAGGGTTTCCCCTTCAGTGGGCGGGGACCTCGCTCACTGGGGGAATCCCTGCATCCCCTCACACGGGCTCCCCATCGGACGTCCTACTGACGTATCTGTGTTTACGGATGAGTCACTGTTGGGATGGGGGGGAACGTGCTTGTTCCATACGGTGGCAGATCGCTGGCCCCCCCACACGCACGAGCACATAAATGTGTTGGAGCTTATGACAGTGAGGAATATGATCAGTCACTTCGCTGCCCTTCTCGAGGGCTGTCATGTCGAAGTTCACACAGACAACCAGGTGGCGGCAGCCTACATAAATCGCCACGGGTGGAGTTCGATCCCTCCCACTATTGCGTGTAGCCACAGATTTACTGTGTTGGTCACATGTCCACCTGCTGTCCATCAAAGCCACCTACATTCTGGGGGTCCTGAATGTAGCTGCAGACATCCTGTCGAGAGGGGGACCCCACGACTCCGACTGGCGTCTGCATCCCGCACTGATATCACAGATCTGGATCAGGTTTGGGGAACCATTGGTGGGTCTGTTCGCGGCTCGCGAAAATGCTCAGTGTCACCTGTGGTTTTCCCTGAGTCCCCGGAACCACCACCCGCTCGGAGCGGACACCTTCTCACACTAGCCCTGGCCTCAAACACTCCTATATGCGTTTCCGCCAGTCCCACTGATTCCCCGTCTCCTGGACCGAGTTCGGTCGGAGCAGCTCTCTGTAATTCTGGTGGCTCCCAGACGCTTGTCCGCGTCATGTTTTCCAGACCTGCAAGTGCTAGTGTCCGGCTCCCTGTGGAGGCTCCCGTGGAGGGCGGACTCCCTTCTCCAGGCGGATGGGATAATCAAACATCCTCCAGAAATAGGCCAACGGCTGTAGGTCTGGCCGCTGAACGGTCACGCTTAGAGGCTTCTGGGCTGCCGCATGATGTGGTGGCCACGATTCAGAGTGCGCAGGCGCCCCCTACCGTCACATCTTATGCTGCTAAATGGGCAGCTTTCCAGAACTGGTGCACGGAGCGAAATGTTCAAGCGCTCTCCTGCCAGCTGGCGGATGTCCTATCGTTTCTGCAGATACTGATGGACAGGGGCCTCACATTCAGCACTGTTAAAACATATGCTGCATCTATCTCATCCTGTCACCAGGGTTTTGGAGATAGATCTGTTTTCAATCATCCCCTCACAAAGCATTTTCTAAAAGGTGTCAGAAGGAACAGACCTGTGTCCCGCCCACTATTTCCCCAGTGGGACCTAACGGTGGTTCTGCGTGGCTTATCTGAAGCCCCATTTGAACCCTTGGACTAGGTCTCACTCAAGTTCCTGTCACTCAAAACTGCCTTGCTGCTGGCGCTGGCATCAGTCAAGAGAGTGAGCGACCTAACCGCCCTCAGTGGCTCCCGCATGCCTCAGGATCCGGGAAGATGGCGGGTCTGCGGTTTTATGCCCCAACCCAGACTTTGTGCCCAAAAACATTAATGCTTCCTTCAAATCCAGGTCAATTTCATTGGCTGGACTTTTTCCTCCTCCCCATAATTTTGATGAGGATGCGGCTTCCCACCTTCTCTGCCCGGTGCGCGCGCTCGCACGACATGTGTCACGCACTTCAGGGATTTGCTGCTCACAAAGCCTGTTTGTGCACTACAGAGATTCTTCCCTTGGGCAAGCGCTGTCGACCCAGCGTCTTTCACACTGGCTTTGTGACGCCATTTCACTCGCTTACACATCATCAGGGCGGGATCCTCCTGAGATTTCCTCTTCTATGGCGCTCCACAGTGGTGTGTCGATGGAAGACATTTGTCAGGCTGCTTCATGGGGTTCTCCCTGTTCCTTTACTCGTTATTACTCACGAGATGTGTCTTCAGGCTCCATCACTCGTTCAGTGCTTGGACCTCAGCAGGCTGAGTGAAGGCATTATGGCACCACATCAGCCCTACTTGAATGAATTTCATCCTCTTGTGGATGATAATTTTAGTGGGGCCCCACTCTTCTCTCTGGCTGCCTCAGCCTTTTAAGCCCTGGGCTGCGGCTGAGCGTCCCTCACTAAAAGGAGACATGTTGCGTGTGTCCATTGGTTGAGCTAACCAGTGTGGCGTAAACCAATCTAGCTGCGCATTATTCCAATAGCAGCTAGCTTAAGGGCTAAGACTAGACGAAATAGAACGTTGGTTACGTATTGTAACCCCAGATTCTATGAGTCTAGTTGCAGCCCTTAAGCCACTGTACCCACTGGTTCTGTTAGGACTAAGAGCCATTGGAGGCGAACAGTGGAGTTGCTCCACTTATATACCCACAAGGGGTGCCCACCATTGGTGGGCGTACATTTAAGCTCTTCATGATTGGCTGATGCTGAGATCATCCTTCCAATAGCAGCTAGCTTAAGGGCTAAGACTAGACTAATAGAATCTGGGGTTACAATACGTAACCAAAGTTCAGGATTCTGAAATCCTGGTCAGAGGATTCACACACAGAATCATGAAGTCAGGGTCAGAGGTCCTGTCGGGGGCTGAGGGTTCTGACCTGTAGTGTGGTGATGGACTTGTGGGCGTGCATCAGGTGAGGCATGACGGCCTCCAGTGAGCCGTGCCACTTGCACGTTGCTCCGGGACACGGACAGGTGTAGGGTCTGAACTCACAAACCTCCTCATGGTCAGGTTTCTCGCTGTGGTGGAGCGACAGCTGGCAGCCGGCTGATGAATACTGCAGCAGGATGGAAAAGGCGGAGCAGCTTCAGCAACACTCCAAGATAAAAACGTTCAGACTTCCTCCTGAGTTTCTATTTAACCTGAGATGTTCCGACTGCTGCTATAAAAATGAACTAACGTTAATTATTAGTTAGCCATGAACAGGGCTAGTTATTAAAACTCATAAACAGGAATAGTTTTTAGTTACTAAAAAACTAGACTATTATTAATTTCTCATTAATAAGACAAGTTATTAGTTAGCCATGAACATGAATAGTTTTTTGTGACTAATAAAGATGACTAATTATTAGTTACTCATAACTAGGGTTGTCACGGTAACCGGTGTAGCGGTAAACCCCGGTAAAAAAGTTGACAATAATAATAACCGTCTTGTTTAAATATATATATTATTCCCATTTTCTTGTAGTTTCTCAAGAAAAACTATTTTTTTGGACATTTTACTTTTCTGTTTCTGGTGCTGTGAAGCTTGGAGGATTTTTACTGCTATTTTTTCACTTTTTGAGCATTTGTTATTATGTGTAACCATGGCAACAAGCTGGTTTACAATCGGGAGCAGCGGATTATCATTGGAAAGGCTGAAATAATACCTCAACTGAAGCCACAAATCCCAAATGAGCTAAAACGCAAGAAGCGTGGGTGAAGAGCGGGAGCAAAACGGAGATAAAGAGGAAATTCAAACCATCTCTTCCATCGATCGTAATGGAAAATGTGAGATCACTGGCCAACAAGATGGATGAACTCCAAGCCCTTTCAAGGACTCAGCCAGAGTATCGGCAGTGCAGTGTTATGTGTTTCACTGAGACATGACTGCAGGACCATATACCCGATTCCAGCGTCTCTCTGCCAGGATTCCTGATGGTACGAGCAGACGGAGATCTGTAGAGGAGCAGGAAAAGAAAACGAGGTGGAGTGGCAGTGCTTTTCAACAACAGATGGTGCCATCCAGGTCATGTTTCAGTGAAATGTCGTCTCTGCAGCCCAGATGTTGAACACTAGGCAGTAAGTTGTCGCCCATATTATTTGCCAAGAGAGTTCACCAGTATTGTCTTGGCAAACGTTTATATTCCACCTTCAGCCATTGCTGAAAGTGCATGTGATGCCATCAGTTCCGTTGTCGCTAAGCTACAAGCTACAGTACATCATGCCTCGCTCTCTGCTACACTTTCAACATTTCAACAGTTTGTCAGCTGCTCCACCAGAAAAAACAAGACATTGGATTTGTGTTATGCAAATGTAAAGAATGCATACCTGTCCAAAACAAGACCTCCTCTGGGACAATCAGATCACAATCTTGTTTTTCTCTGCTCAGAATACAAACCACTTGTTCAGAGGCAACCTGTGACAAGAAGAACTGTGAGAAAATGGTCACAGGACGCTGAAGAAGCCCTGCAGGGTTGTTTTGAGACCACAGATTGGATGACACTCTGCCAAGGATATGAAGAGGACATCAATTCCATGACTGGATGTGTCACTGACTATATAAACTTCTGTGTGGAAAACATCATACCCACCAGAACAGTGAGATGCTTCGCTAATAACAAACCCATGATCTGAAGAATCTGCTAAATGAGAAAAAAAGAGCCTTCAAGGAGGGAAACAGGGAGTTATTGAGGAGTATACAGAAGCAACTGAAGATCAAGATCAGAGACAGCAAGGAGGCATACAGGAAGAAGCTAGAGAACAAACTACAGAGGAACAATGTCAGAGATGTCTGGTCAGGGATGAAGAAGATCACAGGCTTCAAGCAGAGGAAGGATTGCACAGATGGCAGCCTGGACACAGCCAATGAACTGAACAAGTTCTTCAATAGGTTCAGTTCAGGAACAAACCCAGAATCCTCCTCGCCTGTCCCCAGCCAATCAGACATCCCATCCTCCTCTGATGCAACATTTTCCTGTCACACCCCAGCTCTTTTTTCCTCTAACACAGCCATGGACTCTTCTGGTTCTATAAATCTGTCTTCAATCAAGTCAGGAGATGCTGCTGCCCCATTTACCTCCCCCTCCCACTTATCTGTCTCTAGAAGTCAGGTGAAGAGGCAGCTGGAGAGACTGAACAGGAACAAGGCTGCAGGTCCAGACTGTGTCATCCCCAGAGTACTGAAGGCCTGTGCAGAGCAGCTCTGTTGGATTCTGCAGCACTTCTTCAACCTCAGCCTGGCCCAGGAGAAGGTTCCAGTCCTGTGGAAGACATCCTGCCTTGTTCCAGTTCCAAAGAAAACTCGCCCATCAGTCAATGACGACTACAGACCCGTTGCCCTGACATCCCACATCATGAAGGTCCTGGAGAGACTCCTGTTGGTCCACCTGAATAAGCTAACTAGGACATATCAGGACCCGCTGCAGTTTGCTTATCGCCATGGAGTTAGAGTTGAAGATACCATCATCCAGCTGCTTCAACCAATCCACTGTCATCTGGACAAAGCAGGCAGCACTGTGAGGGTCATGTTCTTTGATTTCTCCAGTGCATTTAACACAATCCAGCCTGATGTACTTTGCCAGAAACTCCAGAAGACACAGGTGGGGGCCTCAACTATCACCTGGATTAAAGACTACCTGACAAACAGTCCACAGTTTGTGAGGCTGAAGAACTGCACATCAAACCAGGCAATCAGTAACATAGGAGCACCACAGGGGACTGTACTCTCACCATTCCTTTTCACCCTGTACACCTCAGACTTCCAGTACAAACCAGAGACCTGTCATCTACAGAAATACTCAGATGACTCTGCAGTTGTCGGGTGTATCAGAGATGGACAGGAAGCTGAGTACAGAGAGCTGGTGGAGCGCTTTGTGGCATGGTGTGGAAACAATCATCTGACCTTGAACGTGAACAAAACAAAGGAGATGATTTTAGACTTCAGAAGAAACAGGGTGGAGTCAAACACTGTTTCCATCATGGGAGAAGTGGAGGTGGTTGAGGAATACAAACACCTTGGAGTTCACCTGGACAACAGACTGGACTGGAGAAAGAACAGCGAAGCTGTTTACAAGAAGGGGCACAGCAGACTGCACTTCTTGAGGACGCTTAGGTCCTTCAGTGTCTGTTGCAAGATGCTGCAGATCTTCTACAAGTCTGTTGTTGAGAGTGTAATCTCTTCAGCCATTGTCTGTTGGGGTAGCAGCATCAGAAGCAGGGACCTGAAAAGGCTCAACAGCCTAATAAAAAAGGCTGGTTCTGTTCTGGGGACAACTGTGGAACCGCTGGAGGAGATAATGCAAAGAAGGATTCTCCAGAGAATCAAGAAAATTATGGACAACCCTGAGCATTCTCTTCACAAGACTGTCCGACAACGGAAGAGTGTCTTCAGTCAGAGGCTTCTTCAGTTTGGCTGCAACACTGACCGCTACTGGAGATCCTTCCTGCCAACAGCCATTGTAATATACAACAACTCTTTGATGACTTGATTATTATTATTATTCTGAGATACTACAGCAATCAATTTCCCTCTGGCATTAATAAAGTATTTTTGAATTGAATTGAGAAAGCAGGATGTGACTAAATAAGGGTATTATTACAGTTCTTTTGATCAGCGGTTTCTCTGAAAGCAAACAAACAAACATTAAAGGTTTTTATTGATGCACATGTCCAACAGAGCCCACCTATTCTCATCCAGGTCCACGCTAACAGGTTTGTTTGTCCTCAGGGACTAGGAGGACGCATTTGGAGTTCGATGACATCACAGCGGTAACGAGTGCTGTCCAAATTCAAATACTCATTTTTGTGTGCCGTACTCATTCCACCCAAAAACCGAGGATGGGTCTGGTGTATCCTCAGTGAGAAAGGCTTTCCCAGCATGCTTTGCACACTGGCGTTGGATTTTCGACCAAAGTAGAAACAAGAGAGCAGAGAAGTTTGAAACATAAGTTCGTTAGAGAAATGTCCATAGAAAACTAAAAAGCTCGAAGCGGTTCTGTTTATAGGCCTTTAACATTCGTGTATTTGTTTGTTGGAGCCCGTTTTAGGCAGAAGGCAGCAGAACTGGCTTGTAGCTATTCCCGTTTACGTGTTTCTTTAGTCAATTAAGCTTCTAGTCATTTGTTTTAGGGACAACAGAGCAAAGATGTGTTATATTAAGCTTAGAGGTGAAGAGTGAACCCATGCCCACGTTCTCTTGTGTCCAGGGTTCAGGCTGGTTGTCCTCCTGGGGGAGGCCTTCTACTATCATGTTAATGTTGGTGTTTGAATATGTTTATTAAAACAAATACTAATTGACAACTCATTTGATCATTCACTTTATTAGTTCCAGATGTTTTTGAACATGTTACATGAACAGAAAATGACAACATGGTAAGGGGACAAGATTAATTAATTAATCAATTTCCCTCTGGGATTAATAAAGTATTTTTGAATTGAATTGACTAATCTATAACACGTGACTATTATATGAAGATCAGAAGGAATATGGACCAGTGATGCATGGCTCAAGCAGCATCTTACGGATGGACCGCTTCCTCTCACAGTCCACTCCATCGCCAGTCTACAGAGACTGCTGGGCTGGCTCAATCGACGGCTGTCACATCACTAGAACATATTCAGAATTATATTTATTTAACCTTTATTTAATCAGGAGATTTAGAAAATCCCATTGAGATTAAAAACCTCGTTTACAAGGTGTCCTGACCAAGAGGCAGCAGTATTTCACACAGTTAGAACATAAAAGCAGTGGTGAAATACCGTAGATCATTAAAACAAATACAAATTACTCAAGCGGTGAATTCATTTAAGGGAACTAGTTCAGTCAGTTTCTGGTCTTTCTGCAGCAGAAGGTGCTGAATAAGCAACGGCTTTCTTCCCAAGCTCTGTACGGCAAACGGGACGGAGAGCAGCAGCTGACCTTCAAGAGTACTTACACACATACCAATCACCCTGCCTTCTAGTGGCCAACCACTCGTGAATACAAGTCACAGTGATGTGTCACGGCTCTACAGCCCTCAAAGATGAGCGGTAAACCCAGTCCAGCTTTTGAAGAGCAGTAAAAGAAACACTCATAAG